CTGTTCTTTCCATGGCTTTTGATTGAGGACCAAATCTTCAATGAATCAAAAGCTCTAGATCCAGCGAAACGGCCAGTCCCCCCAAACGACCACTGCGCGTTGGGGATTGAGTCTGAGTCGGTCGACAGGGAGGCTTGTGTACGGTGCTCACGAAACAGGACCAAAGAGCAGTCATAAGGAATCAGCATTGCTTGTTGCGGGTCAACCGTGATTGAATCTGCTTTTTCGATGCCTCGTAGCTTATCGTGATGTCGTTCTGAAAAGGCAAGTTGGCTGCCGTGACAGGCGTCGACATGAAACCAGATATCTTTCTCTTGGAGGATCTGCGATAGACCATGTAAATCGTCGATCCTCAAGCAAGTTGGATCACCTGCATATGCAACACAGGCCATGATGGTATTCCCTTGACCCTTTTCTTGGCTGATGATGCGCCTTAAAGCTTTTTGATCCATATGAAACTCGGCATCAACGGGAACGGGTACGAGATTCTTCTCTCCAAGGGACATCATGCTCACGGCTGAGCGTATTGAGTGATTCTCTGCTATTTCTGGTACCAAGACACGGATCTTGCTCGGCAGCACTGGGATACCATTTAAGCGTGATCCGGGGAAACGCTTTTCCCTCGCAGCCAAAAGCGCAACAAAAATTTGAGAGACAGCCCCCAGACGTGAAGACTCCGCCGGCATCCATGGCTTTGGTGTAGGCTCCAAGTACAGGATAGCCAAGTGCCTCACGCAGCCAGTGTATGACTTCCATCTCCACAAAGGTTGCTTCTGGCGGGCAAGTCTCTAGGTTCGCCATGTTTTGGTTCAAAACTGGTATCAAGAGGGCTGCCCCAACTGCAGCAGGGCACATAGTAACATCAGGAAATCCCAAAAAGTCTCGAGACCTCAGATTAGTACTCTTCGCAATAATAGATATAAATTCATGGATAAGTTGTTCGTCTGTGAGGCTGGACTCTGGCATAGAGTCGAAGCTGACTTGGGGTGGCACAATGCTCTGGGCTTCTGCATGATCAGGTCTGTGGGTTCTAAAAAGGACGCCCCATCTCACAACCTCGTCAAGAAGTCGTTGAGTTCTACCCTCTCCACCATCTCTTGTGGTTCTGGGGCATTCATTTAAAGGTGGAGGGGAAGGGGTTCTCATGCTGGGCAAGTGAGGGGGAAACGAAGTTGATAACAAGAAGCTTGAACAGGGGGTTGAGTAGACCGCAGAGAGGTTAAGTGATATCCTGCAGTGTTTTATACATGGTCTTTGGATTCAGTCCGTAAGGGCAGCAGAGCGATCATTGACTGTTGCAAACAAGTCAATGGTGAGACAAAAAGTATCTGTACCTGCTTGAGGCTCAACTTGAAGAGGCGTCATCTTCAACTGCCAACTTACACAACACTCGCCAGACTGTGGAAGGGAGTACGAGGCACCCCGTAACTCGGAAGGGGTTGATCATAAGGTATTCAAGGTATTCTCTTTTGCTTCCATGAACCATTGCTGTGTCCCACAGCCTAGGTTGACCTTGTACTAGGCTGGTGGTTCTACAAAGTCGTGATGAGTCGCTATTGTGCTTGACTACGCACATGACCAGAAATAGCTAGAAAGTCCAGGTTCCTATCTGCTCTACCTCGTATGGAAGAGGAGACGTAGTTATGGAATCTGCTGACTTGAAGTCTGTGGCACTTTCAGAACGTAATATATGCTCTGACATAAAATAGCTGACATCTCCTAGTTAGGCCCTCTGTGTTACCATCAATAAGAAAAACAAATCTCTAAGACGTGCGGCAAGATCAACTGATGAACAATACTGTATGCTCAGATGGTCTCATGTCGGTGTGAATGACAATGCAGTGTCTTCTATGGCAGCGCTTAGACAGAAAAGCAAACAGATGATTAGCCCACAGACTTGTAGTCTTCATCTGAGACAACAAAAAACTATATTAGAACAAACTTAAAGCCGTGTTTGTATCTTGAGCAGAAGTGCTTTATGATAAGTCACGCCATATCATACACCAGATACAGAGACAATATTGATTGAATGGACAATATTAGGACGTCTTGATCGTCGGAACACGGCAGATGAAAACGACGACTAGGGGACCAAGAGCTTGCTCCGATTGGCGAATCGTATATTGTCTCTTCTCGCGACCAGGCTAGTTGCAGTAGGTATCGCAAATCATGCAGGGTTGATTCATATCTAAGCGCCTGGACCAAAAGCATCTAGGTTTACAGGGTCTCTCTGCTTAATTAACTCAGTGCCACGCCGCAGCATTCATTTCATTCCTTCTGTTGGACGGCAGTTGGCTTCTGGATTTCACTCGCATTCTTCCTTCTTCATGATTCCTTTTCCATTTTCTTTTGAAGCGTTCGTTACCTAGACTTCAACTTCTGTCTGCCTGACAATACTGTATATTCACATAAGGACAGGCTCCTTAACCGCTCTCTTTATTTGGATACAGGCTCATCGCACTCACCATTCGCTCACTCATTTGCGCAATCCAGTTGCTCAATCATTACAATTCCCTCGCCGAATGCTTCAAAAGCGACTTCTACAACTCAGATATTGCGCCCTACGAAACAAATGGCAAAACTATTATCTGAACTGACACCTTCATTCCCGCCGAGCTTCGTCGCCCCAAAACGATATCGATGGGCAGCGGGACTCATTTTTGTCATCTTTTTGTTCTATTTCTTCTCAATTAATGGATTTCTTTACCAGAAGCCGCTGAAATTCCGTGGCTCGATAGAGGTCGATTGGTCGCGCTTCGCTTACACCCAATATGTCACCAACAGCGACTATCTCTGTAACTCAGTCATGCTCTTTGAGTCATTGCACCGTTTTTCCAGTCGTGCCGATCGAGTGATGATGTATCCTTCTCACATGTTCGAAGCAAATAACGGCAGTTCTGTGGATACCCAATTGCTGATCAAAGCTCGCGATGAATATCGAGTCAAGCTCGTTCCTATCACAGTTCAGCACAAGGACAATAAAGATGGTAAATGAATATTTTCATCACTCTATTTAGGCACAATTCTTGTCCAGGAATCAGGCTAACCAGTGCCGCCTTTAGATACCTGGGCTGATTCGTACACAAAGCTCCTCGCTTTTAATCAGACTCAATACAGTCGCGTGCTTTCTATCGATTCTGATTCCACGCTCTTACAAGAAATGGATGAACTATTCCTTTCGCCCCCAGCACCAGTAGCCATGCCAAGGGCCTATTGGCTGTTTCCTGAGAAGGAGATCCTCTCATCTCAGGTGATACTTATTCAGCCTTCTGAAAAAGAATTTGCTCGCATTATGGCCAAGGTGGATTCTGCTTCTGAGAACGACTTCGATATGGAGATTGTGAACTACCTGTATCGCGAGAGTGCCCTTGTCCTCCCGCATCGTCCCTATGATCTGTTAACGGGCGAGTTCCGTGCAGACAATCACAAGAGGTATCTCGGCTCTGATACCGAGCCTTGGGATCCCGCCGCTGTCTATAACGAAGCCAAACTCGTCCATTTTTCTGATTGGCCGCTTCATAAGCCATGGATACAATCGGATGAGGAGCTTCGCCTCCAATCACAACCCAACTGCACAACTTTGGCAGATGGCGCAGAGGACTGCGCGGCAAGGATAATATGGAACTCTTTCTATACAGATTTCAAACGAAAGCGGAAGGTAAATATCCGTCTCGGCCGTCTTCTGCTTGGCGGGAAGCTAACAGATTATAGGAAATTTGCGGGCTGGATGAGGTGATATTGTCCAAGGAAGAGTACGAGGAATGATCTCCCCTTCTTGCAAATGCAAGCTATTCATTATTAGAGCAATGATTTATGGGATCAAGATTGGGTGCCAAACAGAGGAGTACATATTGATTGCTGTTTAGGAGTGGTTGGAGGAGATTATCACCTAGTTCGTTGTGGAATGTATTTGATGAGATACCTACATTGTTTCGAGGCGAATACGAGATGATTGGCATGAGCAAAGTATTTAGTGGCTATCAAGAGGAAACACCACAGTAAAATAGACAATATTCCTCTTTCGACCAAGACAGTTGACAACTCCTTTTCAGCAGTTGGCCATATGACTACAATCCGTACGTACGACATACGAGATATGCACGAAAACCGGGCCAATCACGGATCTTAACGGCAGACCCATAGTTACCCGTTAATTGACGTTGTGGCTGCGTTACCCTACATCCGTTTGTGTGCCTCTGACGCCTGGGGTTGTCTTTTGTGAGTACAAACATTGCAACAATCAAGGATGACGCGTCAAGTATCAGATAAAGTATGTAAGAGAGCAGTCTCCCAAGTCAGACAGGTAGGCGATTTTGAAGTTGTGTGGGTGGCAGCTAGTGAATATTCGCTATGTTATTTTTCTTTGGTATTTGGACTTATACTCATCCACCTTCTGTTCAACCACTGGAGTTTTATTCTCTTCATAGCGCTTTACCTTACCATTCTATGCTGTTCCTGTAGGCAGGTCTGATCCCTCTGGTTTGTTCCCGCTAGAATGGTCATATGGTTTGCCGACCGCTTCATCAAGCTCTCGTTATGAGCTGAAGTTACGGCGTTGACAATCACATACGACCATACCTATCAGAGAACTCGGGATCCCGTCCGCTCTCCCATAGATAAGCTGATAAGGGGCGGATTAGTAGTTGGGTCGGTGACGACCAGCGAATCCCCGCTGTTGTATGTTTTCTCTTTTGACTTTTCAATAACTTTTTGCTGGAAACGAGGGAACAAGGTTGGATCGGTGGAGGGAGGGACGTTGGGAAGCAATGGTGGGCTGAAACAACATATCTAAGTCATGAGTGGCTTGTAGAGACCAAGGTGGTTGTTCTGAAATGCAATTTCGCTATGTCTGATGTATGCGTAGGCAGGCAAATGGAGCCAGCTGATAGTGTAAACGCCTATTCGAGATCATCGAAGGACATCTACCAGGATGCAACTCGCACAAGTCCAACCGCTTGACTGATCTTCAGTCTGCTGTAAAAGTCTGGTCTTGAACTCGACTATCCTCGTGGTCGAGATCCCCGTTGCAAAAAGTCCAACTCCTTCTTCTCCTTACCAGCAACCTTCTTCCTCTTCCTCTCAATCGCTCTATCAACCTGTCCCTTACTCATACCCTCATATCTGTTAACAAGCAACTGCTTCTTCTGTTCGCTCTTCTTCAGGTAGAACGGCGTCTTGCCCTGCGCCACAAGCTCCTTCTCCTTCTGGCGATGCTCCTTTAGCAGCCTCTCCTCTTCCTGTCTTCGCATGTTGGCCTTCTTGCGAGATTCCATGGATTGGAGTTGGCGCTTCAGGTTGTCCTTCTCGTAGGAGTCTTTGGTCTTCTTGATCTGTGCGCGGAGATCGGCCATCTCCTTGTCGCGGTATTCGTCTAGGAAGGCGTAGGCTTTGCTGGCTTTTTCTTCGTCGACGCGGCCTACTAGAGGGTCGAAGCGAGGGTCGCGATATTGGCGCCGGTTATCTGGGAGGATTTCGCGGCGGCGAGATACGGGTTTCTTGGAGGTTTGTTCTTGCGGAGCGTGTTTGGAAGATCGTTTGGGCTTGGGGTCGTCCTTTGATTTGGTGGATTTTCTAGGCGCTGGTGTTTCTGTTTTTGAAGTGTCTTCATCACTAGATTTCTTCGATTTTGATTTGCGACCAGCAGATAGCAATGATGCTTGAGCTTTTGCGAGAGCTCCGAATGAGACCGATGAGAGGTCTATCTTTGGCGTGTCCTGCTCGGGCTTTTCTATGATCAGCACTGTGTTTTCGAGGAGAGACCTAACGACCTTACCTCTGATTCATCTTCGGAACCTTCTTCAGATTCTTGATCTTCCTCTACCTCGTCGTCATCGTCATCGTCATCGTCATCGTCATCAGATGCGCCCCGAATACCCTCCTCCTCCACCTCATCATCATCGTCCTCACTTGAGGAACCTTGACTCTCTGGCTCTTCTATCCACTCATCCTCTCTCCTCGGTCGCACTCTTCTCTCCAGTCCAAATGACGATGACGGTTTTCGCTTGAAAGCCATGTTGTGCTGTTGTATGCAATTGAATAACTGCTCTTCAATGTTTGATCATAGAGGCGCTGTGAACTTTTTTATTTTCCAGCTTTGATAAGCCCCACGAAGAAGTCTTATCGTAGCGCCCCGATAAGTGAATAGCTGCATTGAACATGTACTGGTCAAACTTTTGGTACCTCAAGATCAAGATTTGTTAGAAGATGGAGTATTATTGGTGCTAGATAATAGAGTCTATAAGGTCCCGTAGTCCTAAGTAGTCTGTCGTAGCACAGTACATAGACAGTTCAAAGTGCTGTTCTTGTCCCTCCCGTCTATTTAATGATTTGCATAAATGGATCTAGGCCCACCCCCTGCTGCCCCGCGATTTCGGCCGCTAAAGTTAAGAAAAGCCAAACGTTTGTGTCGCAAGTCGTATTCTTCTCTGATTAATGCGCCTCTCTTCCTCCTTTCCCCATGCTGGGCATCGCTCGCCGTTTGGTGAAGAACCGCAATACTGTATTCTCTTGTGCATCCCGTACTCCTAAATTCTTTGACTTTAGCTTTACTTTTCCAGTGCCAGTCAACTCCGCAGCACCACAGACTTTACCATTACAGGATGCTTCTTTTCTGCTCCCAGCTTCAGCCATGACAGGATACAAAGAGCCCGTTGTGCCGAATGGGTCGTCGTTCAAGCCGATGAACATACCAGGTCTCACGTTGGCGCAACCGAGGCAGAGTAATGCGCCCAAGAATGCGCCCAAAGGCCCCAAGAAGAAGAGTAAAGCGGCTGCAGACGCAAAGTACGTTCAGAAGATCTATCTCATATGTACATAAACCAAGGACTTTGAAAATCTGTAGTACATCAGTCAGGATTTCGGTCTGGAGATAGGATTGAATTCACCTGAGGGTGCACCGAGAGGCTTCAAAACTCATGGTATGCAGTCTTTTCATACCATGTCACTAACTCTTCTTAGAATCCCCAAAGGCCCAAAAGCAATGATCCAGGCCCCTCCAGCTCAACGCCGTTCTTCATCACCCCACAAGATCCCAAGCAAAGCTTCTGGGGGTGTTCCTGACCCTACCCCCCAATATATAGCACAAGCGAACCTCAGCCCCGAACGACTCCCTCAACCGCGCCGCATTCTTATTATTATGGACCTCAACGGTACTCTCCTCTATCGGCCCAACAAGCGCCGGCCCTTCGACTTTGTCGAGCGACCTCATGCAAAGACCTTCATGAAATACTGCCTCGACGCTTTCCATGTTGCGATATGGTCCTCAGCCCGTCCTGAAAACGTCAACAAGATGGTTGAACAGCTCCTCACACCTGAACAGCGTGAGCGGGTTCTTGTTGTTTGGGGTCGTGATTCTTTTGGTCTATCGGAGGGCGATTATAATGCAAAGGTGCAAGTCTACAAACGCCTCACGACCGTATGGACTAATCCACGGGTGAGGGCTGCTCATTCCCAGGCTCATAAGGGAGGTCTTTGGAACCAGACCAACACTATTTTGGTTGATGACTCGTTAGAAAAGGGCCGGAGTGAACCATTCAACACGCTTACACTTCCAGAGTTCTCCGGCCTGACTACGGAAATGCCCAATGTTTTGCCCCAGGTTCACGATTACCTGAATGAACTGGCCTACCAGGCGGATATCAGCCGCTTTGTAAGACAGTCACCTTTCAAGCTTGATCCAGCTTATGTATTGCCAGAGCATACAGCCTAGTCAGGCTTGACCCTGCGCCAACGTCGGAGGTTCCAGGAACAAGATGAATCAAGGATATCATCGGTTTAGATTCATTTAGAGATACCCGAGGCACAAGGCCTCATCAGATACAACTTCATAGCGTGTTGATGATAGAACATGAATGGCCATTGCCAAAGGCGACACAGACTTTGTCTCTCAAAAAAAAATCCTTTCAATTGTCTATGAGTAGCAGACAGCTCTTCGTTCTTTTGGGTACTACATAGGGAATTGCCAGCCGGCAGGGCCTTCATGAGGCATAAAATATCATAAACTCATTTACCCTCCCCAACCATTTAACCATAAGCCATTATCATCATCGCTCTTATTTTCTTTTTCCATTTTTTGATTTGTTTATTTGAAGACCTTGCCGTCGGCAAGCTTGTACTCCTTGCCGTTGACGGTGATAGGCTTCTCCCAGCCCCAGGCATCCTCGACGAACTGTCGGTGCTCGGGGTTGGTGGGGTCGAGCTTCTCGAAGTTGTAGCTCTCCCAGTCGGGGGCGACATCGAAGGCGGGAACGTGCTCCTGGCCTCGGATGACGAAAGCACCCTGGATGACGGAGTCGTTGTTCTCGCCGTAGACGGCCGCACATCCGAAGATGTACTTGCGGGAACCCTCAAGACGGTTGTTGAAGCCACCAATCAGGTTGTTGGACATGAAGGTGAGGGTAAGCTCCTCGTTGTACTTGTAGTCAACCTTCCAGATGGAGTACTCCTCGAAGTTCAGGTTGTCCCAGAAGTACTTCATGGCCTCGTTGTGGTCCTTGATGTTGGAGTACTGGCGCTTCCACTCATCGAGAGGGAAAGAGGGGCGGCCGAGAGCCTCAAGAGGGTGCTTGGCCTTGGGGGCAGCAGGAGCCTCGTCAGCAGCAGGAGCAGCCTCAGCGGCGGGGGCAGCTTCCTTCTTAGCCTCCTTCTTGGCCTCCTTCTTGGGCTGCTCAGGCTTCTTGGGGGGAGTGTTGGTGAGAGCGGGAGTCTCGAGGAGCTCAACCTTCTCAGCAACCTCGGCGAAGATGGGCTGAGCGCGGACAGTCTCAAACCATCGGGTGACGGCGGGGTTCTCCTCGCGCCACTGCTTGTCGAAGAAGTACTGGAAGCCACGGACAGCGATGCCAGCAGCGAAGAGGTCGGCAAGGGTGATGCGCTCGCCAACAAGGAAGGTGTTGCGGATGAGGTGCTCCTCGACAACGGAGAAAGCCTTCAGAGAAGCCTTGGAGGCATCATCGACGTTCTTCTTGTTGTAGGGAGCGTCGCCCTTGAGGGGACCGAACCAAGCGATGAGGCTGGGAAGGATCTCGGAGTTGAAGAAGGACATCCACTTCAGAATGGAAGCATAGCTTTGGCTGGTTAGCACGGGAACTTCTCAAGGGCCGTAGTTGTGAACATACTCCTGCTTGGTCTTGCCGAGAAGAGTGGTCTTCTCGTTCTGGGAGGTGACTATAGCGGGGTTAGCAAAGATCCCGACAAAGCTGACAACATAGACAAAGATGAATTGGGTTGCAGGGTCAGAAGTTAGACGATATCCACACAACAACTCTTGAAAAAGACATTTCAGACAGGGATAACTGTATAATAATGCTAGGTCATCACTCGCAAGGGAGGGGTAAGAAGAAAAGTGGTGCCAGATTAGGCACGCATCGCACACAGCTTAACTTACTGTAAATGGCAATGGCAATGCACTCAGAGAGAGCGAAACCATCCTCGCCAATGAAGGCAGGGATCTTGCCGAGACCGTTGGCCTTGAGGTGCTCAACAGTAGCGTTGCCCTTCTCGGCCTCAACGATGTTGAGCTCGATGTCGTTGGCCTTAGCGACCGCGCGGATGGCGGTAGAACGGCAGTTGTTCTGGGAGAACCAAGACCAGTCAGTAACGACGCTCTTTGTTTGCACTTGCAGCAAATTCAGATTCAATTTCAATGCTCGAGAGTATGTACCTCGCGGGTGAAGAGAGTTCCGAAAGCCATCTTGATTGGTTTGCTGAGGCAGCTGAGAACGAACAAGTTGACAGACAAAGAGACGAAGGAGGAATGAGGAGGAGGAAAAAAGAGGGAGGGGAAGTTTTTTTCTAATAAGTGTGTCAAATTGCTTGCCCCGCGCTAGTGGGGTCCTAGGAGCCTTACTGCCCGAGCAACGGGCTGTCGAAGAAGTGGCTGTGATGCAGTGTGGCAGGTGAACTATGTGGCGTACAGATAAGTCTAGGTATATTCGGACATCCATCCACTCCACGTGACCTCACCGACCCAGCTAGCCCGTGATGGACCTTGAATTCCCGTGAAGTTTTTTGGACAGTCACTGAACCTCGTGGTCCGATACGATACCGACGGGGCCATCCTCCGAATTGGCCATCATGTCGACAATTACACATAGCCTACGGCAGCTAAGATGTCAAGGCCAGCTTTTCCGAGCACCATGGCCTCAGCCCGCCTTGCATAGAGCGACTTTTCCCCTCGGTGTACGAAGCATCACCAGTGAAACATCTTCAACGATCGTCGAACCCAAGCCCGATCCTTTCGCCGTGATAGATTCGAATTCGAAGATTTCTCTGCCATTCCAGGATGTCCAGCATGCGAGAGCCGTTCCCATCTCGGCTTCCTACTTCTCTCGGGAACCTCAATTCAATGAGATGTACCTCCGAATTGCTCGTCTTCTCACCAAATACCACACTCTTCCAACACTACCACCAAGCGCTGCTCCTCCGACAGCTTGGGTGAAGCTCGACGAAATGCGATCGAAACTTGGTGAGCCAATTAAGGCCTCCCACTACGCTAAGGTCATTCGAGTTGCCAAGCGGCTGAACCTGATTGAGACCTCACTCTTCCCTGAGGAAGTCCGGGTTGCTCTCGAGGATTTCAAGCGAGACATCAACCCTTTCATGAACGTACCTCACGAGGTGACAGTCGACAAGTTTGGACGAGCTATCGGTGTCGGCAAGCGAAAGGAATCTACTGCTCGGGCTTGGGTTGTGGAGGGTACAGGAGAGGTGCTGATCAATGGCAAGACCCTCAGCCAAGCTTTCGGTCGCGTTCATGATCGTGAGAGTGCGGTCTGGGCTCTTCAGGCCACTGAGAGATTAGACAAGTACAATGTCTGGGCATTGGTGGAAGGTGGTGGAACAACCGGTCAGGCCGAGGCTCTTACGTTGGCGGTTGCCAAAGCTCTGATCGTTCACGAGCCAGCGCTCAAGACCGCTCTTCGAAAAGGTACGTGCTTGATAATCACCGTCGCGATTGATTCTGTTGCAATAACTAACGCTCGTATTTACAGCTGGGTGTATCACCAGAGATCCAAGAACAGTGGAGAGGAAGAAGCACGGCCATGTCAAGGCACGCAAGATGCCCGCCTGGGTCAAGCGATAAGCAAAATTTGCAAAAAGTTGACATTTCACGACTTTGGATTGAGCATGTTGCTGTGATCATGATGAAAAGGGTGGTGAGCGGGTCACTCATCCAACCTCCATGTATAAACAATACTTTTGTAGTTTTAGAACCCCATGTCCGGCCTTGGAAAGAAGCTGTAATCTTTGGTTTGTGTCCGTGGACGAGCAATTATGGCTGGAACCCGTCATGAAAGGCACTCCTGCTCCTCGGTGGTTCATATCGTGTGGGTTCGAAATAACAGTTGGTGCACTCAGACGAATGTAACCATAGATCTCAGATGAGCTGATGCGGCATCACGTCTCCGGTTCCTCGGGTTCCGGAAAGTCATTCCTGTTCATCACATGGGAATCCTTGTTGCAAGACGTCAACGCTTCCTTCACGCGCCCTGAAGAGTATTTAATGATATGCAGGGGGTCGACAAACTTTGTAAACCCCAGCCTTCTTCCTGTGTATATAAGACATTTTCTGACGTGCTAAGCATGTCAAGCACCTACCGGTCGAACCGGATTGCAGCAAATATGTACGGGCCATCCCATCGAACCCTGAAGGGTGCTCCTTGACGGTAATTAGCAAGCCACCAAGGCGCTGGTAGCTCCCGCTATCCGCTCATGTCATGATTTTATACCGCAATCGGCTATGTTGCCGTGAAGTAAAGTCGAATAATCGTATCGTTAGCGCTAATGCAGGACAAACGTTGGAGTAATGCTAATAGTACATGAGCCCTGGACCTTGATATAGCAACGGGCTTTTATCAAGTCTGAATCGGGACGGAGCAGATGGCAATCGGCGAAGGACTGAGCATCCCTGGCTCTATTAGCTCCATGGCAATTGAATAAAGAGTGCACTCCGGTTGGCCAGGCGGTGAGTAACTTCGTATTTAACTGTGGTGGTTGTAATTGCGGTCCTTCTTCCGCAGCCTGGTGGTCGCAGCGTCTCAGCGAGGGACGTTGCTTTGACGCGCAATACCTATGACATTAAAGGCGCGGGTACAGGGGCCGATCCATGAGTCGTCCATAATGCTTTTATGCTAGTGACTCTTGGGGTAAGCAGCTCGTTGATGTGAACAAGCGGATAGCTCTATAGATTAATCAACTCAAGCAATTGCATCAGCTGTCAAGCTGGAGAGTGGATTGCTGAAGAATAAGAAGATTTCTAGAACAGTTTCAGTGGGGTGGCTTGAAGTGTTTCAGCTCATGCATGTTCAGGAAGAAAAGCGGTTGGTTCAATTTTTAAGATCCAACGGCACAACGGTGTGGCAGGATGGAGAATCTTCCGAAAATGATGTTCAATTAACCCCTGGGGATCGGTACCTGAGGATATTGAAACCGATATTGACTCAAATAAAGCAATGCTGAGGAATAGGCACAATGATCACAACAAACGCGTCTCGTGCAAAATGGGAATTGGAGCCGTTGCAATCATGTCAAGCCCTATGGTAGGAATCCATAAAAGCTGCGAAAGTTAAGATAAACTTACAATGGCGATGCGCTAGGCGAACCTTGGATAACTGTTGAACCTTAGCATAATAACTGACGGCATAGGAGATCCAGAGTTCTCGGTGTACGGAGAGCGATAGCCAACATCACGCGGTATCCTCGTCGAACTCAAGATTGAGGCCGCCACTTAGCCCGTGCCAACGCGGATCCAGCTAGAGTTAGTAGTGATGAATAATATCCAGAAATCGCTCTCATCATGGTGGAGGTGGAGAGCGTTAAGCATGGACAGACGGCGGTTTGAGGTCGGAGGCTTTTGGGGCGGACGCAGCCACGAGTGGATAGAGACCCCTGTTGCCTGAGAATCGGTGCCGTTGCGGCACTCTGTACTGGATACATGCGGTGTATCTGGACAATCTCCAATCTCATCTCGTTCCCCGAGTTGAGGGAAAGTTAACGGCCAACGGCTTTTAGACGAGGCTGAGATCGTCTTTGATTCTTCGATCAAACTAATTTGGCATGCATATATGTGTGTTGATCAGCATAACACAATAGTTGCAGCATATGCACAACATTCATAAGAAGGCTCCCCGAGTGCCTTTCTCCAACTTCTGGTTGCTATGCTTGGATAGTGAATATGCAAGACGAGCAGGGCTGTGATCCACGGAGCGAGGTACCTTTGTTAGTCAATTGGTGTCTGGGCAGTATTATGATTGGGCTTCGAGTTCAGCATCACTATCGTCGCCCCTCAAACCCCAGCTGCCCAGCCAAACTAAAGGCATATTCTCATGCGTGGCTGATGCGCGTTGCCTTTTGCAGTTCTAGACGCGCGAAACATGATCCGATATGCGCGTCAACTAGTGCGCTTCAGCAAGTATCCTGGTCATTCAGGTACCGGTACTTGATGTGGGGTCGGCCGGATGGTGGGAGATCTCGGTGATGGCCCTTGGGCCTTGGTTGACAGTTTTATCAAGGCACCTGCAGCCGTTGAAGATGTTGATGCAGGGTAGCTGACGACAGGAAAACCATGGAACAGGAAGAAGAGACAACAATGATTCTCTTGTAAGTATACGGGTAATGCCTGTGTGAAGAAACAATAAATGATGGGCATGATATTTGTGTCCGAGTGCCGTCGTCTACCTACCAATAGAGATAGTGACGCTGTTGATGTTGAAAGAATTAACCCTAAAAGCAAGGTATCGTGGAAACAGATAAAATCGATATTGCCATTTAAAGTGTGGCTGGTTAAGGCAATCCGAACCGTTCTACGGAGTAGGTAAGTTTACCTGATACCAATAAGGAAACATCCTCCCGTAGCTGCACAAATGTTGCGGGAATCAAGGCAATGAATCTGAGGCTGACCTTGAATCGCCAACTTTCAGCCAAAAGTGAAGATCACATGCACTTTCCCCTCAAACACCACAGCTGGAATCGCCACTTCCACGAAGCAAACTCGACCACTAAGATGGTATGTGATTACCAGCCTCGTTGCAGTCTTGCTCGTGACACAGACGATCAATGGGAGAGTAGTATCTAGACCCTTAGATCGTGCTGACGAAGCCTATTTTTGTCTCATTTCCAAAATGTTGGCATTTACCCACTGTATCCAAAGCATCGGTCGCTGGCAGGTGCCCTGACCGCCTACCCCAGTCCTTATGAGAAAAATTTCCGCCTTTCCTCGAGCCATTGACCAACCATAGAAACGCCCTGACTTCTGCTCTTCGAATCGACATCGCCGGACTGTTATCTTCCTCACGCAAGCCAACCAGGATCAAGGTCCGAACAGCTCCTCACGACATATGCCACTCTAAAACCCGATCTAAGTCCGCATCATTAAACCTTCAAAGTATGCTCAAAACTGAGTGTTTCCCGACGCCATGAACGTCTCCGAAAATCCGGATAATTCGCCAGCCCCTATTAGCAACATGCCATGCCCGCCAGGGGCTCGCATTCACGCTGGTTGGTCTGAAGCATTAAATTGAACCCAAGCAAGCTGAGCTCAAGCATTGTTGGCACGTTCCATAACAATATCGCCCTCTCCGGACGGCTGGCGCGAGGGTCAAGCTACCTCCAATCTAAGCAACAACCGCGTTGTGTCCGAAGCACGAGCATCTCAACTCCAACAAGGATTTTAGTTGATATCGCCCTCCTCTGTCGATTGGCCAGCGTTTCTTTCCGGCTTCCTCACCTGGAACCACCTCCATCTGTGGACTGTGGACTGTGGACCAGCGCCATGGCTCGATTTGGCTCTGTGTTGCTTTTCTTTTCTTTTCCTGCGACTTTTAGCCCTTGCAATAGCCTGTCGTTGCTTTTCTTGTCACCCTCAAATCCCCAGTCCTGGTTGCTACAGACACGTAAGTGTCAAATCAACCTACCGATGATGGTTTGTGTAGGGCGGCCAAAAATGGCAGGAAAAACCCAGCAGACAGCTAATATTGCTTCGGTCTAAGATCAATATGAGAACATTTCGACTTTTTTTTTTGTTTGTTATTTTTGCGAATCATCCCCTGCAAAACAGCACGATCATAGGCATCTGCCAAGACAATAATCGATGCATCAGCTTTGGCTGGCATTTGTCCCCCATTTGGGGAAGCAGCCTTCAATCTTTGACAGACAGGCTCTTTCAACCGCTTGGCCTTGTTTGGCTATAGTGGCCATTTTTCACACGATCAGATCTGCTTAATTCTTTCTGAGCCACTTAACCATGATTAGGAACTACCCATACATCTCGACAATTGTCTCTGTTCACCGTACAGTAACCCGTCTCCTTTGTACCTAAGCCATGGTATTTTACGAAATGTATGGACTGAGATATGAGTTTCTTGAACTAACAGTGACAAATACCTCAAACAAGAGAGGTTGCGTCTCGCAATTTACGAAAATATCACCATAGGGGTTCAAGTTGCGGCTGGCGGGTCTCGTGTCAAGTTTTTTCTGGCATTAGCCCACTTCAAAGAATGAGCCATAAAATCTCAATTGAGCACTGGTAGTTGCACTGGAGCTTCAAGAGGTACAGCCCTAAAACGCAAGGCGTGAAACTATTTTGGCGGCTACCTAACTCTGGAGATATGAAGGTTAGTAAAGTGCCTGTTGGGAACGGGATGGAAAAAGCAGCCACAACAGTCTTGGGACCATCGCTTTTCTTATCTAATGCATTGATACCCAGCTTCTTCTTCTGACGAAAAAAAGCAGAACAGGATTCCAACATTTAGTCACTACCTACTGGATGGAAAGCAGGAGAAGCCGCTGTTCAGCGCCCAGTATGAGCAATTGCAATGACTACCGGATGTTTACTAGGGCCACGGCTCAAAAAGCGGTCCGGTACTTGCGCAAAGCACCCATGGCGCCCCAGGATCCCAGACGCTACACCCTCCATCCGCTCAATTCACGCCCAGGCAAGCCACTTCGATAGGTATCACTCCCCTCCAATCTTCCTGGCGCCTCTTACCAAGGTACTGGGCCAGGGGTGGTGCCCTAGGCTGGTTACGTGGTGGATGGAGAAGGACGACGCCGATCCTTCCACAATTTCCAAACCCGTTCTCATGA